TATAGAAAGTAGTGTGAAAAGACCTATATATGTATAAACATATATATGTAAATATGTATATACATCTGTATGTATATGTTTACACATATATAAAGACATATATATGTATATACATGTGTAGTTGCTAGTCTGGTGGACACCTGGCTGACTATATGCTCATTAATGCAGTTTTTTTTATCAACTACTGTGCATTGGTTGTTGTATAACAAAAAAGAAAGAAAGAAAAATTTAGGATGTATCATATTGTTGTATGTATATCTAATTTCACTGAAAGATAATTGAAATTAATGATGAATGAAAGTCATAAAAGTATGTGCACTGTAAAGAGCAAATATCTTGTTTTGAATTTTTTATTGTACCAGGTCTAATTTCATCTAGCTTTGCCTGGCTTTTCTATTATACAACTAACACAGCTTACACTGTGTCCTGTATAGTATTTAATTTCTTAAATAAAGATAGGTTCTCTTAATTGTTTTTATTTCATTGCAAATTGATGTAATGATGGGTTTTATTTTTCAGGTGTATAACCATCCGCTATACCTCTCCCACAGCTTACTTGTTTGTAAGACCGAAAGTGAAACTGATGCCAATTGCTCGTAAACTCCTTGCATTACTGAAGGACATGAGCCTTGATGACCATCCTGTTTTTTTCCATATGTTCAGCAACAATGGATCTGTGTTATATTACTACATAACTCAGGCAATGGAAGAAGATGAGGCACCAAATTTGATGGTTAAAGGATGCATTTTTGACAGTACCCCATCACCTAGGAGAATTTACTCAGGTTAGAGACTGTATCATAACTTGGTAATTCTATATTGATTTATCCATGATAATAAAAAAGGAAAAATAATATGGATTCTATATTTTTTTAAAGTTTTGCATATCCGACTCCAGAAAAACAGTAATGACACAATGCAAGTACCATTTTTCATATATATCTTCTACAGTTCTGGTAATAGATGAAACACTAAGTACTGTATTGTGTGATATGAGTTTATTCTTTTGATGCTGCAGGTGTGCGAGCGATATATGAGGTGACGCCAGGGTCAGTATGGATGAAGCTCTGTGCATCAGTAGGCATGATGCTGTTCTTGATGGGCTGGAGAGTCCTTTCTGTGTTGTGGACAATTATCTCTGGAAAGCTTCCTAACACTCCACCTTGGGCTCTTGTGGAGGTAAATACTTTGAAAACACTAAATAGTGTGAAAATACTAAAGTTCAGTGCTATGATGTAATGAAGATTTTTCATGGTATTCAGTTTCTTTTACTGTTCAGCATAACATAAGGTCTCGTATCTTTCAGGACAAAGCTCGATGCCCACAGCTCTTTCTGTATTCACGTGCTGACAAACTTATCAATTACAATGATGTTGAATATTTTGTTGCTGAACGTCAGAAGCTTGGAGTTCCTGTTGTTACAAAATGCTGGGATGATTCTGCTCATGTTCAGCATTACAGGTATGCAGGCTTAGAGACTTATATACACAGCATACACGTATGCAGGCTTAGAGACTAATTTACGTAAAGGAATGTGCTTTTTCCTTCTTAGTTCTAACACATATTCATATGCTCATTGCCTGTTGCCTTTCAGATTTAGAACAATATTTTTAAAAATTCATAACAAGGAATTATAAATCTTATATAAGACTTTGACATTTACTCTGTACTCAGTACAAAGAAAACCTATGTACTGTGCTTAAAATAGGGCCTTCGGAAATGAGTTGTGCATACTCCAGAATAAACCCCCCAGTTGCAAGGCAATGAAGGTTTTCATTATCATTATTTATATTTTGGTAATGAAGGCCTTCATTTTTATTATTAGATATACAAAGGAAGACTTTAAAAGTACTGATATTTTATTTGCATATCACTTTATGCTGATGGGCATTCATATGTCTGTCAGCATAGGCTGTCAGGAGACATTGTTCACCAGACCGCATTCACCATCTTCTCTTTATTGTTTTTCTCATTACCTCCTTGGTTGTTTTGGCCCACATTCTTCATTTTTGATATTGGTACTTTATAAAGATTAAAGATAAACATTTGATGTTTGATCTAACCTCACCCTGCTGGATGATAGACATGGATCAGACTTGTTTATTAAAGGTAAACTGGATTATTAAGCATTAAACAGCTGTATATATTTTTGAAGGGTACCCTGACTACTGTCTGGTAACAGTTCAAATGATTCTTGGCATACTGTCTCATGAAATGTCATATATGATGTTAGCACATCCAGGTTCTATTACTTATATGACATTTGCAGGTGTAAAGCATGTGTAAGAAGATTTAATTTTTTTTATTTTTGGCATCTACATTCTAGGTTCCTTAGATCTTTCATTCAACTTCCTCTGCTTCTGTACGATAGATTGGTTGACTTGTTGCTTTACATAAAGAAAGGCTGTGTGTATTCAGATTATATCATTAATGCTATTTTTTTTTTCAGGGTACACCCAGATGCCTACAGTTCCTCAGTTTATTCATTCATCAACATGTGCCTCTCCCCAGATTTCTTAAGTAGTAAGGTCATTGCTGATGTATCAGAGGATGCTGATAAACAGAAGAGTGATTAAAGAGTAGTTGTTACAAGGGTGTTACAGGTCCAGAACAGACACATTACCTGACCCGATGCCGTTAAGCATGCCTTGGCCACGTAACTCTCTTCACATATAAATGGCTCCACAATTACTTAGTCACCAATGAGACAATAACTAGTACTGCCTTTCTCACCTGCCTGACCTTTTTTTTATTTTAGGAAATATTTTCTTTGATCTTGTATTGCTGTTAGAAATGTCATTATTATAATGATTATAATGTCTATAATGATAATAACAGCATCGATATTGATAGCATTTGTCAGAATTTTTTTTATTTTGAAAACTCAAATAAAAGTGAAATTAGGTGAGTTCATAAGGTTGACTAATTGACTACTTGGTGGCTAAACACTTACTGAACCATGAATGTGGAGAGACAAATCACAAAACAATGCTACAGTAAATATTAAATTCTTGTGGCAGCACTGGGTTAAGGTATGTTATATATAATGACTTTGTAAAGAAGACTTGACCATTGTGTAATGAATTTATGGTCACAGTGCTTATGTAAAATATGTAATGAAATAGGAGTTGTTTTATCAGCAAAACTTTGACCATCTATGCTCATTAAATATAATTATTAACCTGTACATATGGGTTCAGATAGAAGACAGGTCTTAATTATTTGGTAAATCTGATATTGCAAATACATTAGGACAGGGTAAGCTATACCATTGGTTCTAGAATTTGGTGCTGTGAGCAGTACCCAGAGGTGGTGCATTATCCAAAATGAAATCAAATTTATGGATGCAGTAAGTAATTGTCACTCTTCTAAAGAGCAGGAAACATATGGCCTTGAAGTTCAGGGGTATTTTGTTTCTATCGACTGTAATTCATGGGGCAGAAGAAAATAAACTACTGTAACTGTAAAATCATTTAGAGGGGTGATGGGGTAATGAAAAACATTTTGTGGGAAGGCATCTGTAAGCTTTGGAGTCACTGAATATGGTTTAGGAACCACTGGGCTCTACCTTCTATACATTTTAAAAGAATCGTCTCATGAGAATATTTTTTAACGTTTTGATAGTGTAATTCTTGTGTAATGATCTATGATATCATGAAGCATGTTAACTACTGTAAACTGGGGTTAACCATGAACATTTTTAAAAGTGTTTTAAACCAGATAGCCCTAAGAACCACTTTGTTCCTTGCTGCATAGAATTCCAGATTTGTTTTGTTTTGCAAAGGCAAATTTTGGTGCATGGGATTTCAAAAGCTTGATTTTATGCATTAGAAAATGCATGTTTTTGTCATATATCAGATAGACAGAGCACAAAGTTGCAAAAGTTATCACAGTTACCTCTTGTATATGAAAATGGGATGAATTATAAACTTGTAAATAAAGTACATATAAAGCAACAGACACATATTTGTCTAATATGAAACTATAGAATATGTATGAAGATGTATTTGTATGTATCTATGTATAGATAATTAAAAAGAAAAAAAAACATATGTACCAAGAGGTGACCCTGTGCTACTTAACCAATTGGATCCAACTGGTTTGTAGCTTGTGGCTTGTGCACAGATCAAAATATGTGCATTAGTCTTACATGAGTGGTCACTCTCCTAGGTATGTGGCTTGTAGGCCCAGCCCACATGAACATTCACTATCAAGAGTCCTTTCCTTCTTTTTGCAGAGCCATTAATCCTCTTTATGCAGATGTGTTTGCTGTTTTGCACTTTGCCTTTTGTTATGCTGTATCAATGTGTTTTTCACTGAGCAGTCTCCATATCTCTCCAGGTAGTTTTCAGTCTGTGCAATAATGTAACATAGTTATTTGTTTTGATTTTTAGAAAGAAAAAAAAATGTTTATGCAATATCAAAAAAACGTTAGACATTTTTCATTGATCACACTTCATATTATCTATCTATGCAGTACAAGTAACATCATTCTGTTGAAGGATATAACAATAGTATTATTTTTTGTTTTTACCCTATTTATATTTACCTAGACACTATTTATAGATGTAATTGCTTTCAGGTATACCATGTTCATGTGTCTCTTGGGTGTGGTACACCTGAAGCATAATCATATAATTAACTCTGGGAGAGCAGTGTGTCTGTGGGTGGAATAGGAGACCAGAACATAATGTCTCATGTGTCTCTTTGGGTGGTGGTACTCACTGAAGCATATATCATATAATCTAACTCTGGAGAGCAGTGTGTCTGGGGTGGAATAGGGGTTTGGGGATGATTTTCGTGTGTGTTGTGCTGGGGAAACTTCCGACAACCAGACCCATGCATCATTGATAAACAAAAAAGTAATAGAAAAAAAAGCCCACTGTTTTTGAATAGGCTCCTTTATATCATGATCTGAAAATAAGACTGACCACACATGATTTAAGAAGCCACAGTTGTGGTGAATAGGACTGTAGGACCCAGGGTGACATGACCATTACATCTTGAAAAAAATTAGTTAGTGAGATGTGCTGTCATATAAATTTTCGTGAGGAAGATTAGATGCTGGTCTGTTGACGGAACTGCTGTCACAAATTCTTTTTCCTCTTGAGGAATTGATCAAGAGCAAATTGGAATGTGCAATCTATGTCCTAACATGGTGTAAAGAGCTGGCTTATAGGGAAAATTCACATTCCAGCTCAGTGTTCCTTATTCTCTTGAGCATAAAATACAGAGGTGGAGTGAGTTAAAAGAAAATGAGCAAGATAAGAGGACTGAAAATAGTAAAGTAGCAACAATTAGAAGGAAGATCTTATTTGCCATGTGTGTTCCGTATAGGGACGGGATTATAGCAGCTGGCAGGGTGAGTAGTCCATACTTAAGATCACACAATCAGATTTGACAAATATACAGTGAACATGGCAAGAAAGAAAAAAGAGATAATGATATTGCAAAGTGGAGGCGGAGAACATCAGATGATCGAAATAGATGCGACCCAAAAGAGCATGCCACAAATATTCATATGTTTTCATTGGAGGGAAAAATAAAGAACAAGACTAGATTCTCTGAAAAGGCACGTTCATAGCTTTTGTCTTGGGGGGGGGGCAAAAATGATTTGAGCGAGCGCATATTAAAATACAATTCAGAAAGTTAGTTATTGCCGAGGAATGTTAATGTATAAGCACGACAGAATAGGTATGTTTTATGATATGGTATAAAAAAAAAGTTCAAATTGTGGTCGTGGGAGGGGGAGGGAGGGGAAGGATTTTCACCACCTAATTCATACCCCTGAGAGTAACCGTAAAGGAAAGGTGACAATGATATGTGGTTGTAAGATGGACAGGAATAAAATAAAATGAATGTCATTTTTGATAAGTGTAAATAACAATAAGGCTGATACGACTGCCCAGATTATCTAGATTTTTCCTTGAAGGAACTAATCTTCAAAGGTGTCCAGTAAAGATGAAATATCTTTGTACTATTCATATTGCAGTTTATATTTGGTTCCTCTCCTGAAAATTTGCAGTCACACCAGTCTTGTCTGTCTGAGGATCCCTGTACAAGGCAGGATACTTCCAATGAGGCGAACCAAGGTGAAAATTTCTACCTAGCATAGCACTGACGCTGTATCGGTCTTTTGCTCTGGCTACAGAGGGAAAGTGATGCCAAAAGAAAAAACTGTTGTATGATTACTAAGAAACTCATTACTTGATTGTCTAATTGTTGATTATTACATCATGGTAGGTATGATTGTACTGTAGAATAATGATTGATATATATTACAAGTGATAATGGTAACCCACTAAAATTTTAAAGATTATCCAGTCAAACATTCATTTGATCATGAATGCAAAAATAACACCCTCCGATTTGCTGAAAACAACAGAGCACTTTGGAAAAAAGCTTATTTATCCCCCCCTGCTGGACAAAGTGAGAACCAGAGAACAGTAATGGAATGCCATGATAGCAAAAGCTAGAAATAAAATAATTGAATATCAACGGGAAACATTACTTTGTCAGGTCAAATTGTACAGCTGGCTGGCAAGGGTTCACAATCAACAATGATAATTTACTCAGTTTTGGTTATAGTATTTGTTTCCTTCCAACATTAATATTTATCAATCTATAATTACGTTTCTAGTACATTGCCGATTACACTTATAGTAGTATATGTTATTGTACAAAGTTTGTTGGTATTTTCTATTCTGTTGAAATAATATCGTGTATTGGGGTAACTTTGGAGATTGTTGTAACACCATGGTCTTTTCTGGGACCAATATGTTCACATACAGGGGCACACTTGTGGTAATGTGCCCAATCCACCCTGTACATGACAAACACTGAGGAGTGGTGTCTGTTGGGGATCCCCAGCCATATGCAAACTAGTGTGATTGATTGCTGTGTATAGGGTCAGTAGTTTAATTAGTTTCACAACCTTTTTAAAGAATGCAACACTTCAGACTTTTATCCACCGAGGTTTTCAAGACATTCTCTAATAAGCTACTAGTAAATGAGGCTATAAGTGAAATGAAGTTCAAGTACCAAATAGATGGCTGACATTTTCATACATTATTTTCACTTAATTAATTATGATAATGAATACCTATTGATATAATTCTTTAGTTATTTCTAACTTTGTTCTCTGGTCTCACTTTTGTCCAGGCAAGATAAATAATTTCCCAAAGTGAGCTCTGAAGTCTTTGAGGCAAAGCATATTTATTGTGCATTCATAGCATCAATGATCAAGATGAATGTTTTCAAAGTGAGCTCTGAGTCTTCAGCATATTGGAGTGTGTGTTATTTTAGCATTCATGATCAAATGAATGTTTGACTGGATAATCTTTAAAATTTTATTACTTGTAATATGTATGTACTGTTTGAAGTCACCCCCAGAAAAAACAAGAATGGTGTAGAAAACATTCAGATTCACTGCAGTTGCATGATGTGAGATGGTTTCATACTTGATTACTTTTGTTTCTCTAAAATGTCATGTATATTTTTTTTTTCAAGAGCCCTTGCAAATATTCCTTGCTTGAAGTTTCGGAAAAAAACTTGTTATATACAACTTCATTATTTATTAGCACTGCAAATTGCCTGTTGCCTTTCTTATTTTTTTCATTTAGAATACAATATTCTGTTAGTTCATGCATTTACAACATGTGGTGGATGTCACCCCAATTTATGGTAATACTTTTGATTGACCTTAGGATGTGTTATGGAAGCTCATGTTATTATTATTTTTTTGCTGGTCATCCTGAAGTGGTAAGTAAAGCAATTTACTCTTTAAATAAAGTAATGGCATTGCAGAGATTTGAGAAGTGCATTAGTCACTTAAACTTGGTCACTATATGCATCATTGGCAGAGAAGCTACACCCCACTTTCCTTGCTAAGGAGCTGATTAGTTCATATACAGTGTTGTTATTGCTATCCATTTTTTCACACTGAGTGTATTCGTTACTTACAACCAAATCTGCTTTTCATATTAGGAATGTTAAGAATTAGAAGCATAAACTTTTAAAAGGTTTTCAGATGTTTAGACCTACATATGAAATTTAAGTAGGTACACGCTGATAAAGGATATGTCTGTACCCAAACTGTAGTCTACTGCTTTTGGCATCATTTGTGTCTGTTATTTTATATTTGCTTTAAAATAGAAAAATAATGAATATGCTTACTGGCAGATACAGGAGGTAGCCCCACCCCATTAATATGTTAGATTAACCCTTCAAGACAAGGTAACATACTGTACTTTATGTAAAAATCCATAAATTATTTGGGTAGAAATGTAACTATGATTCTGCTAAAAATGGTAATAAGATGTCAACTGAAAATAGGTATGCATACAATTTCTTGTAAAATTGCAAGTTTATATGTAGCCTATATGTGTGTGTGTGTGTGTGTGTGTGTGTGTGTGTGTGTGTGTGTGTGTGTGTGTGTGTGTGTGTGTGTGTGTGTGTGTGTGTGTGTGTGTGTGTGTGTGGTGTGTGTCTGTCTGTCTGTCTGTCTGTCTGTCTGTCTGTGTGTCTGTCTGTCTGTCTGTCTGTCTGTCTGTCTGTCTGTCTGTCTGTCTGTCTGTCTGTCTGTCCATTTATCGGTCTTTCTGTCTATTGATCTGTCTGTCGTCGGTCTATCTCTCTATCTCTTTATCTCTCTA